ACTTTAAAAATTTTTTAAAATAAAATCTTTTAAAAAAATCCTTTAGACATTTTAGCAAATTGAATCTGAATAATTCCTCATGAACAAGAGGGGCTTTCTCCAAAAATGCAATGTTGGATTAACATTCAAAAATTAATCAATGTATTTTACCATCATAATACAAGAATATGGAAAAAAATACAATTATCAACAGATATAGGAAAGGCACCTGACAAAATCCAAAACATGTAAGCAAAAATTCAAGATGACAACAGCAGAAATTTCATAAGAAACATAGTTAAATGTCAAAAAGATATATTAGCTATTGATGTAGTGTGAGAAGATGCAAAATCTTTAAAAGCCATCAAGTATGAACTCAATTGCTAATAACAGAGGTAGTTACAGTTGGTCTTACAAAGTATTCTGATTTCTTTCAGCATCAAGTATGCCTTCTGACTGATTATACATAGGCTAAAATTATTGTATTTACTTATTTATTTACTTATTTGAGAGAGAGAGAGAGTGAGCAAGAGAGAGCACAAGCCAGGGGGAGAGGCAGAGGGAGAAGGAGAAGCAGGTTCCCCACTGAGCAGGGAGCCTGATGTAGGGCTCAGTCCCAGGACCCTGGGACCACAACGTGAGCCAAAGGCAGATGCTTAACTGACTGACCAACCCACGTGCCCCTATACATAGGCTAAAATTAAAGTCAATTCTTAAAAATTGAAAATGCTTGAAGTATAATGACCTTGGGCCAACTTAGAAAGGGAATGAGGAAAAAAGGTAAGAGTAAAGGTTTCTAATTTGCTACAGGTAAGTCTTAAAGTAGAAAATTAACAAGTAAATGGCATTATTCCCTGAAAGAAGACAAGTAAACCAAAATTTGTCTCTACTTGTCCAATGATGATGGGAAAGTTGCTTCCTTTCTTCAGGCCTCATTCTCCATCCTTTTTTAAGAGTTTAATCCTTGTTTTTATGCTTGTTTAAAAAATAAATAAATAAAAAGACAAAATACAGGCTTAAAATGGTGTCACTTAGACCAAGTTCCCAAACTAACCTCCTCTAGAAATGTAGTCTTATCTGGCCAGCCAAGAATTTTTTCAAACTGTGCCAATTTCAAACTGTTTGCCCCTTCGGCACTCTCTAACCCACAAAAAAGATGAGGCAATCCACATGATAAGACACCTTGCTTTTATCCCTAGAAAGCGGCCTTGGCTGAACCGATCCTTTTCTTTTGTTAATAACTTTCTTGCCGCTACCCTCCTTCTATAAAAACCTTGCATTTTGTAGGACTCTTTGGAGCTCCTCTCTACTTGCTAGAAGAAGTGTCGCCCCATTGATTCACGAATCATTTGAAAAAGCCAAGTAGATATTCAAATTTACATGGTTGAATTTTGTTATTTAACATGCTAGATTCATTCCTAAACTCAATATTTATTGAGGACCTACTATGTGTTAAGCACTTTCCAGACACTAGTGAATACAGTAGTGAAGAAACACAGACAGAGTTTAGAGAGACAGACAAATAAAATATGTAAAATATCTGGCATGTTAAAGGGTAATAAATACTACGGAGAAAAATATAACAGGGAAGGGGACAGACTATACTGAAGAGGGTTGATTTTAGTGAAGTTATACGGGAACTAGATGATGTCTAGGTTCACTTTCAGTTCAAAAATCAACGATTCTTTTCTATGTTGACCAGGCAGCGTAAAAACACACAGTGAACCTCTGAACCTGACCTCTTTAAACTCACACATTCTATCACCTTGCTCTGTGTGTCACCACTTATATTTTAGAAAAATAGGATTAAACATATACATTTTTCCATACTGAGACAAAACATATGCTGTCATTTAATGAAATAAGTAATTTCCCAGTCTTGCCTTGGGAGATGAAAATAAAAAACCCTAGCAATTTCTCCTCGGACAAAGGTTCTAAAAATGTGGCATTTCTGTACACTACAGAAAGGCTTAAAATTAGCTGCTTTTTCTCCTTTTCCAATATATTTGTGGTCTGGGTTTTCTTCCTTTACTGAGGCTGAGTTAAAACAAGAGGTGGTTTAACAGCTTCTCCAAAACAGAAGATTTTCCATAGGCAAGAAAAGTCATATGGATAAGCATTACTACTACAGTTATTGTAGCTACCATATTTTGTATGCCCGCTCTGTGTCAGGTACAGCACTAGCCACTTTATACATCAGGTTGAATTATATGAAACTACCATTTATGGGTCAAAATCAGCAATTTTATATAGTTTAAATACACCATCATCCATTCACTTCAAATTCCATGAGAAAGAAGTCTGTGTTGGTGGTTAACTGCACTGTGTTTCCATAGTTCATCTATTAAATTACTATCTTGGGCAAATCTTCAGGATAATACAAAATGTTTGTTTGGAGGTAAAAAGGTCTTCTCCTAAGTTGATAGTGCTATAAATGACAACTGGAAGATACTGCCTATGTATGAGAATGAGTTTGTACAAATAAATACTTAAAGTTTTTCAGTTAGGACTTAATTTGAGGATTTCAATTATATTTTAACTATCGTAATCCATAACAAAAATTTCATCAAAAGCCATGTGGCTTCATTTTGAAAAAAGTTCAATTTATTTGTTATGCCTACTATTCTGCTTAAAAAGGCAGAATCTTTATTCCAAAATTAATATTTTTTTTCTCCACTAGAAAGAGTATAAAGCAACCCCAAATTATATTAATACCTTAAATCTGTCCATTTGGGTTGGAATTTCTATTTCTTTGGAAATGCCTCATTGAAGGAATCTTTCCCAAAAGAGAACACTGTCCATAAACCAACCTATTAAGTTCACTCCAATAATTTTAAATTCATCTTTTATTTCTTTTTTTTATAACATATAATACATTATTTGTTTCAGGGGTACAGGTCTGTGATTCATCAGTCTTACACAATTCACAGTGCTCACCATAGTAC